GTAAACTGGGCAAGGAGATACTGTTGTGGATTAACATGGAGAAATGGAAACAGATCCCAAACATGTTGCCAATATGAATGCCCTAAATAAAAGGCAAAGTTAAAGGAAAGTTGTTTTAATTTACTGACTCTTGTTTTTAACAATGTCATCATCTATGATAAAAGGAACTATATCTTGGCACTTAAGATACTTGAAGTCTCCTCTTATTTTTTAATTCATTTGCACTAGTGGTCTTGTGATCCAAGTTTTTTTTTCAATAGACAAATCGGTAGAGGTGGTAAATGATAGATAGATGGATAGATGTTAGATATACAGGTGATAGCCCATATCGTTTGATTAACTGAAAGGGTAAAACATCTTGTTCTTTTCTATTTCAGTTAAGTGTAGTCTCAAGTTGGCCTTTCAGTTATCCTAGCAATCTGGAATTTCAATAGATCATCTGTGTTTTCAAATTTTCTTTATGGAAACCAACTTCACTAAACACTATTTACTTACTTCCAGGTATCATTCGCAAATCACTGATGGAAGTAGTACAATGTTTGTGTAGACTCAATGGATCACTTCAGAATTACTTGTTTCCCACATAATGTTATGACTGTGTAAGTCACAACTCACAGGTCAGAGAGGCATGCTTAAGGTTATTAAATCACTCAGTCACAAGTAGGGACGATTAAAAGGTCTGGGCTATTGATCTGTGCATTTTTGCTCCAAATGTTTGCACTTGTTGGGATAACTATTCCCTTTTTTATTAAACCTCATTAGCAGCCACTGATAGAAAAAGCCAGGGCCCAACAGAAACAGACCAGAGGAAATTTTCAGACTCACTTGCATTAGTCCAATTCATCAGTTCTGAAGATATATGAAGTGTGACTGCAGAGTTATAAGAATGATTAGGTTTCCATGGGTAACAAAACTGTTACATATAAATAAGCAACATCCCTTCAGAAGTCCTCAGGGTGTCTATGTATTACTATATGCTTGGTCTTTAAGCATTTTTGGATTTCCCCTGGGGAGAATATTCTTTTGAGCATCTTTAATAGTGACAGTTTGTCCTTTGAGGAGGAATTTGATGTTTGGAAATGCTACAAAGTATTAATAGTATATGTATGTTGTCTTTGTCTACCCAGAAGTCTTTTCCCGAGTTTCTGGTTGGAGAGTCTGCATTTCTTCTTCTGTTTATACTGTCTTTGAAGGTCCTTGAATAGGAAATCATTTTTAAATGTCCTGGGAAGTTGCCATTTTACCTCTGGTAATTGAACCCATATTTTGCCCTCCTCCTTTTCCACTAGGTCTAAGCTGTTTAGATGGGTTTGACTTGACAGAGAAACAGACAAATAATATAGGTCTGACCATAGTCACCAACTTAAACCATGATGGTACTCAGTTCTTGGAATGGAACTGATTGGGATGACTCATTCGAATGGCTACCATCTTGCTTCAAGAGGAAAGAACCACTGCAAAAATGGATCCAGAACTTAAAAAAGTAGATCCTGAAACTTGAGCAATAATGTATATGTGTATGCAGACCTGTGAAAAACCATGTACTGAGAGATGTCAAATCCCGATTTGTTTTTCTAGTAGAAAAAGCCTTTGTATGTTTTTGTTTTCAGACAGTTGGTAGAGGAAATAGGGATAGGGAGTGGAGGGAAGGAAAAAGAAGACAACCAATCTAGAAGTGAGGAACATACCATACCCCAGGGTGGTGTTTTAGTATGGGGCCCTGTATCCATGCTGTTCCTTGTTTTACCTTCTGAATCTGAAGACCAAACTAGGCCTTGCACATGCTAGGCAAATGATCTACCATGGAGCTAAATCAAACTGTTTGGTTTATCAGGCTCATGTTAGTTTTCATGGATCAAATTTGTAGGAACGGCATAGCTAAGGAGTGTTGTAATTAAAAAAAAAATGTGGCATGAAAGAGAAAGATGCCATGTGACAGGGTTCAAGCAGAGGGGATTTTCACTAGGGAAAGGGGAAGACCGGCCTTCAGGGACAGAAGCAACAGGAGAGAGGAAAAGCGGAGGTGGGGGGGGTGGGGGAGTGGAGACAGAAAGAGAGAAAGAGGGAGAGAAAGAAAGACAGAGAGCGAGGATGGGAGGTGGTCAGGGCCCTTTCAAAAGGGCACATAGTGACTATACATAGGTGGTGCTCTTAGTGGCTGCAGCTGAGGGCATATCCTGTCAGAACCCCAAGGGCAGGCCAGTACAGATGCCTGAATGCTAACATGAGGTCTTGCCTGAGAAACTTGTCACCAATTCTTATCTTTACAAATGAACTCATGGAGTACAATTCATGTCAAAATTAGCAACTGCCTGCAAATAGCAATCTGTCATCTCCCACTGGAAACCAGCATTCCTTAGAAGTCAACAGCCATTAGAGTAAAGTTCTACTTGCTTTCCTAACACCTGCTTTTCTCCCAGACAAAAATGTGACCAAGGTTTACTTAGATTGAAAGAAGGGCATTTTACCATAAGCTAATAGATGGCGATTGTAATGGTTTGGTTCCTAGAAGGGTGGTTGAACATAATATTGAACACTGGTGCCAAGGTGCTCTTTTGAGAGAAAACAAAAACAAAAACAAAAACAAAAAAATATCTCTTTGTCCCTTCTGCTACTTTCTAGCTTCCAGAAAAATCCTTCTTTCTCTGTACTTACCTGAGAGAGCAGATATACTGCTCAGTGAAGGATCCATTAAGTAATTTCAGGCCAGGATACCAAAGACTGAAGTGTGGTCAGCAGCATGAAAGCACATGGTAAGTAACTTAGAAATTCCTACAACTTTCTTAGTAGTTCTGCAATACAGTACGGGAGCTTATTTTTTAAACAAGGATTTCAGGTGATTCTTTGTGTAGATGGTTCACATAGAAGATATAAGAAAAAGAGTCCAGGCCGGCCATTTGTGGCACATGCCTTTAAACACAGCACTTGGGAGGCAGAGGCAAGGGAATCTCTGTGAGTTTGAGGCCAGCCTGGTCTACAGAGCAAGGGCCAGGATAGGCTCCAAAGCCACACAGAGAAACCCTGTCTCGAAAAACAAAAACAAACAAACAAACAAACAAACAAAAGAGTCCACATAAACCCTGGGGCAGAATCTGGGTCTGATGAGGTGTTTGGTTATATTGTTGGTGTTCATAGGACATTGACACTGATTGGAATAGGTCAGAGTTTTATTTTGTCATCTCATCTTCCTGTATTTCTCTTTTCTGTTTCTTGGCTGTCATGATGTAAAATCACCCCCCCCCCATGTGTGTCTGTGTATACACTTTTCCTGTTTTAGTTCTGGACTATAGAAAAAAAAAGTGTATCTAATCCTATGTAGCCCAGAAGAGTTTCAAATTTGGGTTTAGGTCCAAGGTCAAGAGGGGCAATGACTCTATTGGTTAGATCATAGATTTGAGCCGGTGATGACTAGAGAAAGCAAGCAGCAGCTGTCAGCTTCGCTATACATTAAAACTGTCTGATGAGATATATACAACATTGGTGCCTGTACCATGTGTCCAAAGAGTCTGATTCCATCAACCTTGGAATAGTCTGACTAAGGATTTTAGAGCTCTTTGGGTATTTTACATACATAACCAAAACCACTAGGGAAAAGAAAATGAGTTCTATTACACTGGAACCCTAGATGAAACAGTATTGGCACACTCTTAGGCCATTAACTTTAAGTTTCAGCACAGAAGGATGTACTTTGAGTTTCTGTAACACCACAAAATCAGTATGTGACAGTATTTAGATTAGTGTTTACTGGTGGACATAGTCAAAGATAAGAAATTGTCTACTTTTGGGCTTTGGCTCCAAAGAAAAGCATGGCACAATAAAAACAAGAACTCTAAAACATCTCAACTATAGTCAACAAAACTTCTTTTGGCTTAAAACATTTTCCCTAAAGAAATAGGAGAGTTATAAACTTGGGTGTTTCCCATCTGTTTGTGTCCATACTGAAATGATTGAATTCACAGTGAAGAACTAAGGGCTTGATTCTTTTCCTTTGCTAGAAATAGTTGGCATTAAGAACAAAAGCACATATGAACTGTAGCTCTAGAAAAATTCAGAATATTGGAGGGGTAGTGATTTTATTAAATCTGTATTATTCTGATACAATTGCCCACATCTAGTAACTACTTTGTCTTAGTTTGTCTTCTCATAATTAAGCTATCTTTGCCCAAATAATACAATGGACTAGATCAAAGATACACTGGGTCTCTGATGTGAAATTTAAGACTATGTATGCTTTTAAAATTGTGAGTTCCAAACTAAGTTTAAGTGATGTTCTGGAACAGTACATGAATTTTAGGATGGGATCCACATATTTTTTTAAATTGTTATATTTTGCTATGAGCTAATCTTTGGCTTTTTATCTGATTTTCAAGGAGTTCATAACAACAACAACAACAAAACAGTTTCTGGGTTCTACATTCTTAGAGACTCCTTTACTTTAGTCCCTTTTCACAGTGTAGTGTTAAGAACAAGACAGGTAGTGTTGGTTTTGGTCCTCACCTGTGGTTCTCTGTACCAGTGTAACAGGTGTGTGTGTGTGTGTGTGTGTGTGTGTGTGTGTGTGTGTGATGCTCTGTCAGCACAATGTCATGGTTGACGTTGATTTGCTATTAGATGGGGTCATCCATGGCTATGACCTTTGTTACTTTGGCTGAAGCTTCTGGTACTATTTCAAGGAAAAGAGCCATTTCCATCATTTTCAGTTCATAGAATTTGTACAGTGTTATAATCACCAAACAGAAGGTGGGTTTAATGCTGACCCATCTAAGCCCTGCTTTTGTATCTAATCAGATATTATCCTTTTGAGGTGGATATTGCCAAAGGCTGCAAATACAGTGAAGATGTACCACACATCAAGATCACAGCTAACATGTGGAAATGTGCTGGATTTTAAATTTGTGAAAAAAATAGAAATTTTCTTTCACTTAAAAATTTATTAAACAAACAAACAAACAAAAATCCTGATTCCTTCTCTTCTAGATGACATTTAGCCTCATTATCGGCAGCAATGTAATTTTTGTTAAAATAACATTTTGAGATAAAATCTATCTAATATTACACACAATTACTTTCTTAGGATATTGTAATAGGGCAGTTATGTAGCTTAATTTTCTCTTGTCTGAGAAATATGATATGTTATAATTTTGTTATTAAAACTAATTTCACAATGTATGGTGAGAATATAGCAATTTTCAGGAGTGCTCAAGAATATACTGACTGCTGTACATTTTTATCAAATAATCTGTACTATTTATTTAATCTTCAGAATTTTAAAAGTTGTGATCAGCTAGGTGGTAGTGGCGACACATGTCTTCAATGCACTCAGGAGGAAGAGGCTGGCAGATCTCTGAGTTCAAGGCCAGAGAAACCCTTTCTTAAAACAACAACAACAAAAACCAAGTTGTTAGCATGCTACATTCCCTAGTCCTGCTGCTGTTTTCTTGGAGGGTTCTTGTGAAACAAGGCACATATCAGCCAGGCTTTAGACTGGATCAAACCCTGAAGAATTCTTTCCAAGCAGTTCTGTTGTCATTCTTTCATTCTGAAGTAGAACTACTAGGGGTATAGTTGAAAACATACATGAAGAAGGAAGTTGAGGTCTGGACCAGTCTTATGCTCCCATTCTGTGAACAGAATAGGTACAGTATACCCTTCGGGTAGTGACTACTAAGTTAACATCTCTAACAGCTTCTGTCAAGGAGATTCCTGATGTGAAAGTCCTCAGGAAACCTGAGACCTGGCCTTGCTAATGATAGCCACACAGAGCTGTGAGGCTTAGCTGGTCATCACTGGGTGAGGAAGGGTCAGGGTCACTATAGATCTGAGTCAGAGCCAAGCTCAGGATTTCTTTTTTTTCTTTGTAAAACCGTAGCTCTTGTCCTGCCTTCCTGGCTTCCTCCAGCTGTCCCAGGGCTGCACGCAGCTCTTGGGAGAGAATCCCTGGTGACTCTCGCTCCTTCATGATCCAGTCCAGGGCCATGTGGCTTCGCATCTTTTCATCTAAAGAATATTGGGAATAATAGGAGATGACTTCCTAGAACCAAGAAACAAAAGTTCAGAGTGTCAATGAACAGAAACAAAAACACATGTGTGCAATGTCTTCCATACTTCCCCAGTCATGTGGCCTTCAAACAACTCTTACTTTCAAAATCTGAAACCAAATCCCATTGACATACTTCTGAAAAGGAAATGGTGATCTAATCTAGTCCTGCAAAACCTGTCACTCCAGGCAGAGTCAAAACATAACACTAGGGGGCTGGAGAGATGGCTCAGAGGTTAAGAGCACCAACTGATCTTCCGGAGGTCCTGAGTTCAATTCCCAGCAACCACATGGTGGCTCACAACCATCCGTTATGAGTCCTGGTGCCCTCTTCTGGTGTGCAGATATACATGGAAGCAGAATGTAGTATACATAATAAATAAAATCTTTAAAAAATTTATAAAAAAACAAAACAAAAAAAGTAACACTAGGAGTGTCAATAATGTTCACGAAGATATATTTCTGTAACAACATAGAAACACAACATTTATTCACTGGACCCTTGGGTCCAGTACTATTGCATTTGACAAGACAGAAAGAGGAAAGGGCTACACAGACAAGTTGAGGTTTGGGCATGCCTATTACATGAAAAAGGAAGCATTCAGTAAAGGGGACTTCAGAAGATTTTGAAACCCAAGACTCTACTTCCTAGACAGTATGCTTTGTTGTTAGGACATAGTCCCAACATGCTTGAAAGAAAATTCCAAGGAAACAAGACAAGAGTCTTGTGACCTCAGTTTCTTCAAAAACATAAAATTGTTCTTGGAATGTGTTTTCATGCTCCTCTCAGGTGTACTAGTTAGGACTGAGTTTACTTCAGATTATTCATTACAACTCGCTATTGCCTCTATGGTAAAATGCTTTTGCCACATGAGTTTGTCTACCATGTGTGCTTTGCCCTTGTGATTATAAGTTTTACTCATGTGACTCCTCTTAACCCTCAGAGTATAAATTGGCTAATGCTCCAAATAAAGTAGGCTATTGCATGAGACTTCAGTACACCTCATTTTTAGCTCCATTCTCCCAGGTCCCACCGCCTTTAGAATGGTAAACACTTTGTTAGCATAAGAAAGACAAATGTTCTAGTGGCTTACAATCAGCACAGAAAGAACTTCCAAAATGGATTGTAAAATAGAGACATCATTATTGGTCTTATGGTGATACCTTTGTAATATACTACTTTTTACTTTTGCAAACAATTAAAAATTAACCACTCCTTTCATGTCTTCTATGAAAAAATATCAATCCATCATGCTGCCACATATATGTTTGATCATGGGGAATGGATGCATTGCTTATTTTTATTTTCAGGAACATATGGTATTTATTTATGACCTTAGCAAATTAAAAACAATCATGGAAAAGTGTTTATAACCAATCCAACATATTTCAAAGGACTTTCATAAAATCAAAGGAAAGAAAAAAAATAGCTGAAGCCATTGTCAGCTACTCATTTCTTTTCCATGTCTGACATTTTGAAAGCTAGAGTTTCTAAGCAAAGAACAACTAAAAATTACTGGGTCTTCAGTGCCTCCAATACCCTCATCTTGATTACTGTAGATTATTAGTTTTTCATACAAATTCTTATTAGGAAATTCTCAAAAACAAACTATTGTCCTTCAAGTTCTGATGGGTAAAAAAAGGATAAGTCCCAGAGGACAATAGGAATAAAAGTATTAAACATATAGGATAGAGTTTACGCTTAGTATTAAAAAGAGGAAGGGCTCCTATTGTAAGTTATCAGAGGTTCAGAAAGGAGGCTTACAGCAGGCAGGTTTGTTAAAAAGTTCTGGTCTGAGGGCCAAAAGGAAATAAACAGGCTCACACATGCATTCCCCTCATGGCTCTTTATTCTTCAAGAAATGTTCTTCCCAAAAAGACTCCCTCAAAAGCTCTCTTTAAGATTTCTCTCTAAAAGCCTCTCCTCAAAAGTTCTTTTTCTAAAAGTTCTCTTAAGATCGAAAAGTTCCTTCTAAAAATTCTCCGGAGGTCCTTCTAAAGGGTCTCCAAAAAGTTCCTTCTAAAAAGTTTCCAAAGTACCTTCTTCTAAAAGTTCTCCAAAAAGTTTCTTCTAAAAATTCTCTGAAAGTGCCTTCTATCCCACAAGGCTTCTAATTTTTATATCCACAGGCACATTTAACAGCTCTCTGACAACAGGACATGCATATCTCTTAGAGCCAGGAAGGCAGGGTAGAGTCTTGAGAAAAGCAGGTGCCCCTGGATATGACTGCAAAACTTCCTGGCAAACTTAAGTCCCAGGGGAGACGTGACTTGCAACTCATTAAAGGGGACTTCTCAGCATTATGTCAAAGGGAAAAACTAAGGCTAGGGCTCTAGCTCTTACTGTTAACGCCTGGGTGAGAAGGAATTCCTTTCTCTGGGGCCTATTTGAGAATACAAAGCAGCCAGTATATATTTTATATATAGCCAGATTTGTAGTAACAGATAATCTGGAGTTGATACCTAGAATATTAATTGCTACTTCAGTAATAAATGTTAAAGGCTCCCAGCATTTCACCCCCTTTTAGTTTATATTTTAAAAATGTGTGTAAATCTCTCTCCTTGGGCAGCATAAACTATGGACAAATAAAAGTCTGAAGATGATTTAAAGTAGAATAATTGATTAATACAATGCTGGGGTAATTTGGGATGAATCCCACTCTGGAAAAGGGGAGCACTATAGCTTCACAAGGGTTCTACAGAGGTGACAGTGATTGTTCAAAGAGCAGGTATCCCCAAGGCTTTGCAAGTGGCATTTCCTCCAACCGAATGCATGATGATCTTGCTGGGTCAGCCTAGTGATTTTGTCAATTGAGATCTCATTGTATGATCCCTGTGGCCTGTAGCAGTAAGTAATGAAGGAATGCTGAGACCTTGCCCCTGGAAAACAGAGAGGAAACTTCTAAACAAACAAACAAAAAAAATTAAGGTGACTAAATGCCTGTGTGTCCAACTTCATGATCCCTTGTAGGGGAAGCTGTAGCCACGCCTACTTAGGGTCTGGCTACAGGTGTGCCTGACCACGCCCTCACAAGCTTTCGAGGGTGACTGCGTTTTTGCTTTCGGTTTCTCTTTTGGGCTTGCGTACAGACTGCTGCCATGCCGGCTGCCTAGGTCGCTCTGTAAGTAAGGCTTTTCCCTATAAAATATCCTTATATTTCTACCTGACTCCGTATTGGTAATTTCCCACTACATCTGGTGTTAGAAGTGGGATATTGGAAACCTACACCCCATTTGGGACAGACTGTGGGTTCCAGCAGGCCTCGGCCTAGGCCTGGAAAGTGCCCTCTCTCCACAGGCATTCCCGGCTAGCAGCTGACCCGCTACAGCTGAGCTGCTCAGAACCATCCACCCAGCTCGGAGCCAGTTTCTAGCTGCCTAGAGTCTAGGTAGGCCTCGGCTTTCAGCAGAGGCTTCCCCTGGCCACTGCTGCGGGAAAGCCACATCTGTTTCAATGGTTGTGGCCGCAAGGCTGTATACTCTCTAAGATAAGCGCAACTGCTTTTATGACATCTCTCCACCGCTGACCAACTGCTGCCAAACGCCTCGGACTAACTGAACGCCTGTGCTACCTGCTGGTCAAATATATTTACTACATCTGGAGTAGAAATCAGGTAAAATTATGGCGAAATCATTTGCTAAAATTGGTAATATTTTTGTTTATTACGTGAATTCAC